AGACAGACAGACGGAGACAGACAGTGAGAGAGGAAAGAGAGAGAAGGACAGCAGAGAGAGAGAAGAGAATGAAGCTGAGAAGAAAAGCAGTTAGCGCCGCTCTGCAGGGAGCCAGTGAGCAGTCACACAAGCTGCACTTCGGAGTGTCAGCATTCGTACTTCTCATAAAAAGTCATAAGCGCAATACATGAAATAGCTTATTAAAAACTTCAGAGAATCTCTCTTTACTTCACACTGATTAAAATAAACACAAAGAATGGAATGAAATATTTTGGAACGAAGACCAAAACTCACTGGCTCGCCTTTGTACCACTGGGGGTTGAATTTCTCTTTAGTTTTAAACGAAAAGGAAGCATTCATTTCAGGGTCAAACATCTTATTGTCAATTAGCCCATGAGATTCCGGATAAAGTCCCTGAAACAGACAAAATACAGATGTTATCCCCTCTTACAAAATGAGGTATTTCTTTCTGGTCTGAAATTAAATTATTTCCTCAAACAACTGTTCCAACTGCATCTCACATCATCAGAAACCTAAAATATGAGGTTTACCGTAACGATGGTGTAGTGATTGGGAAAGGTTTTCGTTGGGTACACCGGCCTCAGGTTTTTCGTGTACGTTCCACAGTTCTCTAAAAGAGAAAAGACAAGAAATCATTATGCAGTGTACTTGGCAAGCTGTTGACCTAATGTAGCCTTTATACCCCAGCAGTCTAAATCCCATAAAAATCACTGTCCCAGCAGGGACATACAGCCACATAAAAGCCCCAGCTGAACTCTAAAGCAACGCTGTGAACGCAAATCCAATCATAAAGATCAGAGTTCTTTTTCCTCTTAGTAGGAAAAACAGTAAACAGCATTATGAAGCCCATTAAGGGCTTAATCCCTTCTCATCATTAACATTAAATTCAAGAGGGACACGCCATAGTAACACAATGCTTCCAAGAGCTTTGATATTAATTAGTGGCTCAATACCTAATTAAAGTACTAGGCTGAACAGCTGTTCCCGCCGCTAAGTCTGCGGCTTCCCACAAGAGGACTTGGCCTACACGGTCCTACGGCCTCTAGGACTGTTCTCTTCTTTCAATAACGATGATTCAACTGACGCCAATCCTGCAGGCTATTAATGTGATTTAAGACTTGGGCATCGATATTAAGAAAAGATGATCCCATTACTTTATCCATCACTTGAGGAATCACCATTCAGTTAAGCCTGAGACCAGCTGCAAAGATTCAATCTGATCCAAAGCCTAGCACAGGACACTAGCAGCCCTTTTAAAGCGTGCTAGCAGAGCCAGGGAGATAGCTCACTAGAATAAGCACTTGCCTGGCAAGCACAAGAGCCTGAGTTCAATCCCCAGTTCCGCAATAATAATAATAATAAAACAAACTGTGTTAGCAGTATCATTTCAGTTTCAAAAACACTGTTTTGGAAATTCTATTTCTAAAAGGAACAGCCATATTAATAATAAATAGGGTTTTTTTCCACAATAAAATAGCAAAATTCTAAGACAGAATAAATCTGTGTAGAAATGGTTGAGAGTCAGAATCCTAAAACAGCTATGTTCTCTTGGAAGTATGTCAAGGGCAACTGCAGAGACATTGCACTATTAAAGGCCAGCGCGCCTTGGGATTAGGTTCAACCACTCTGAAATGTAGAAGGCTGGCAAAGCAGCTGGGTTCTGCCGGTACTTTTCCAAAATGCACCAGCTCCCTCAGCTCCCTACCAAAATCCTGACACGCCAGGAGCCGACTCTGAGTTACTCACTTAGTTTGCTAATAACAGGAAGAAGTCCTCCCCAGGTGTGTAAATATTCCGCCCTGAATCCATCCAAAGAAAATAAGAGGGTAGGAGGTGTGTCAAACCTGGGAAAGAAAAAGAGAAAACAACATCTAAAGAAGCAAAAAGAAGGCCCGTGCAACAAAGATGTATTCGGGGAAAATTTTTCACAGAGGTCAAATGTCATCTTCGTTAAACTAACAAGCTAGAGAGGACACCAATCAAGGCTATCTTATGCACTTTTATATTCACATGCAAACATTATGGCTGCATAATTCACGTGCATCTGTCACTAACAGTATTTATTAAAAATTCTCACCGCTTTCAGGCACTGCACAGTGAACATCATTCATGATTTCCAGCCTTCCTAAAACTACACCGAATGCTACTGACTTATAACAGATTTCTATAATTTTCAAGAAGATAACTGGCAATGAGAAGCATCACCTACATTGTACTGCCATTTCCAGTCATTGCTTTTCCTAAACAGCTACTTTCGGATATTACCTTTATGTGAACCTAATACACAATACCTTTCACAGCATAAATTATATGCTGCAGCTAGTTTCTATGCTTAATACACTGAAAACATATAAATATCTAATGTAGGCAGTCTGAGAAATATTTATTAAATCCATATATTTAAACAAAAAATGACTCAAAGGTAGGAATGTTCCAACGATGAGGTCAAACGTGTAGATGCTCACAGACACAGACAGCTAGAAGCAGGCGTGACTGTGTGCTCAGTAGGCAGAAGAGCTACCATGAACAACAGCTGTGTGACAGTCCCCAGACAGCAAGGCTCAGAGACAGGGCTGCTGCCAGGGACACGTGGGAGATGGCAGGGAGTTCCTTCTGGGTAACTCGAGGCCTTCCACAGAGTCATTTAGTAGATGAAAGCAAGTACTCGGCTTTTTCAACCCTACTTGTCTCTCCTGTCCCATCTTCATCCCAAACGGTGTCCCAAAGAGAGAGAACACTCAGATACAATCGCTGCTGTCACATGTGTGTGTGTGAGGGGGGGCTGCAGGATTAGCTGCCTGTCTTCCTGTGGGAATGCCGCTGCACACGAAAGCAGATCTATTCACTCAGCAGAAAACAAAACGGTGGGGAGTAGTGGCACATGCCCTTAATCCCAGCACTCAGGAGGCTGAGGCAGAACTGAAGCGAATTCAACGCCAGTCTGGGCAACATAGTAAGTTCAAGGCCTGCCTGAACTACACAGTGAGACCCTGTCTCAAAATGAAAGTAAAACACCTAGCTTCCTAAAGCTAGCCTCTTTGACAGTGTTGGGAAAACTGACCACACACTGAAGACTGAACTTAAACCCTTATCTTGCACCTAAACTAAAACTAAAACTGGATCAAAGACCTAAATGTTAAAACAGAAACAATCTGCTGGAAGATAAAATAGGTAAGATCTGGAAGACACTGGCATAAGCAAAAGCAAGGACTTTTTGAGAGCAGAACCCAAAATTGTGTTAACAACATAAAAAATAGCAGACGACACCACATCAAATTCAAGTTTCTGCACAGCAAAGCAAAAACCAACAGGGTGAATAGAATGGGGAAAAAATTGCCAGCTAATCCTCAAGCAGAGGACTGAGATGTAGAGTACAGAAAAAACAAGTAAGAAAGATAGAAAGAAAAAAAGAACCCAAAGTAAAAGACCCAATCAAAAAATGGGTAAATGAAATGAAGATGCTTTTCAGAAGAAGTACAAAAGGCCAATAAACATATTAAAAAGTGTTCAATATTTCTGGCAAATTTAGAGAAATGCAAATTAAACCATCACTGAGAGTCCATCTTACCCCAGAAAGCACGGCCATCACTCAGAAATGAAATAATAACAGAGGCTGGAGAGGCTGCAAGGAACAAGGAACTCTTCTGTGCTGCTGGGGGGAATGTAAACCAGTACAACCACTATGGAGATCAGTATGGAGATTTGTCAGAAAATTAAAGCTGAGGGCTGGCCAAATAGCTTAGCAGACTGAAGCGCCTGCTCAGGCAAATGCAGGGGCCGGGTTCGATCCCTGGAGTACCATGCCAGCCCCACCCCCTGGGCATGCTGAGAGGGTGATTAAGACTGGGCGTGGTGGGCTGGTGAGATGGCTCAGTGGTCTAAAGCACCTACTTAGAACAAGCTCAGCAAAGTACAGGGACCATGGTTCAATCCCCCAGCACCACATGCCAGCCCGCCCCGCCCCCTGGTGGGCTGAGCTGGCCATACACACACACACACACACACACACACACACACACACACACACATAAATAAATAAAATTTTTAAAAAAAAGACTGGGCGTGGTGGCGCATGCCTATAATCCCAGTTCTTGGGAGGCTGAACATAGGCAGGTCACTACAAGTTTGATCTATGTAGTGAGACCCTGTACACCCTGTGTAAAATACAAAAAAAAAAATACAAAAAAAAAACAAAAAACTAGAACTGGCTAGGGAGATAGCTCAGCAATCTAAGCACTTGCCTGACAAGCACAAGGACTTGGGTTTGATCCCCTGTACCATATACAGCGCCAGCCACCGAGACTGGGCGTGGTGATGCACGCCTGTAATCCCAGCACTGGGGAGGGTGAGACAGGTGGATCACTGCAAGTCCAAGCTGCATAGTGAGACCCTGTACCAAATAAATTTATTATTACTAAAACTACAAATTCCGTTTGATCCTGCTATCCCCCTCCTAGGTACATTCCCAAAAGAGTTAGACATTATATTACTGTGATCCATGCAGGCCCACGTTCATAGCAGCCCAACTGACAACAGCTACATCTTGGAAGTGACCCATATGCCCATCAGTGAAGGAATGCATAAAGACCATGTGCTGTATATTCACAATGGAGATTCCGTGGCCACAAAGAAGGATAAACTGGAGTTATTTGCAGAAAAGGAGATGCACATTGAAACCATAACGTTAAGTGGAATACATCAGACGCACAGGCTTCAGTATCACAAGGTTTCTCTTATAAAAGAGACTGCAAATGTAAATAAAGAGCAAAATGAAAGACAGGTAAGAGGAAAAGAGAGATTCTTTTGCAAAAGGGAAGAAGACCAAGAAATAGGGTGGCAGGGAAAAGGTTAAAAGAACAGGGACGTACTGAGCGCCCACCTCCTCCTCCAGTGCATGTATTCACTCTCTACTGCTGGAAGTCACCATTCAGTTAAGAAAAAGACCGACCCTTCCTAAAGACAGGAGACACACGATTCCACCCTACGTCATGAACAATAAAAGCGAAGGATCGACGCCCCTCTTTCCTC